AGTCTTGAATATTCATTGGAAGGACTGATGCTGAAGCTGAAACTCCAATACTTTGGCCACCTGATGTGAAGAACTGACTTATTGGAAGAGACCCTGATACTGGGAAAGACTGAAGGCAGGAGGAGAAGGGGACGACAGAGGATGGGATGTTTGGATGGCATTACTGACTTGTGGGACATGAGTTTGAGCAAACTCCAGGAGTTGGTGACGGACAGGGAAGCCTGTGTACTGCAGTCTATGGGGTTGCAAGGAGTTGGACATGACTGAGAGACTGAACTGAACCAAAATTGACTATGCATCAATAAAAAAAATTTATGAAAATTAACCAACATGCAGATGTATCCTAAAATACCGAATATCAAGATTGAGGCTAGAATCTACCATGTATCATTTTCCCTATGTTTTTCTTCATTCACAATTTATCCTACTTGGGGAAAAATGAAAAAATTCTAATAGAAAATTGTTAAAAGTATACACTTCAAACACTAATGAATGACCTTAAGATATGGTGTAAAAATATCATGAAACAGTCATCAAGTTTTGTGATCAAGTTTGAAATAAAGATGATAAAACTTGACACATTTTAATTTCACTTCAGAAAATACAGACTCTGTAGATAAAAGAGACTAGGGAGTGTCAATAAATTTAGTTTGTCCAGATCTTCAACAGATGCTGACTTTTGGTAGTTAACCCAAGGTAGAAGTTTTAGAGAGAGAGGTATTTGCAGGAGACCAGTAAAATTTTGTAGATCTAGACTTCTAGGTCAAAATATCTTGTGTTTTAACTCCATCATAAGTGATTGATACTCTTCAACCTTAAGGCAGATGGAGTTAGAGCAACATGCAGTGAATTTTATGGACCCTACATAAGGAGAGTTTCTGGCCTATGACAAGACATCCTTAGCAGAAACAAGATGAACTTCCTGAGATTCCAAAGCTGAAAAGAGACAGCAGGAGGTCAGAGAGCATTGCCCCGACAGAGGATGTCAGTCTGTATATCCTCAGACCAAGGAACCCCAAGCAAACTACTGATGCCCCACATGAAAGAAGTTCAACAACAATAGTGCCCTGATACCAAATAATAATTGTTCTTGGCACATTAGAGAGTGGCCTTTCTCACCCATCTCCTGAGACTAACTCCAGAAGGGTTGTAAAGGTACTGACAGCATAGATGAATTTGTTTTACCTTTGGATTTTGAATAAAGTTTAGGGAAAACTGCTTACAGTGATTTATCAACTATCCAAATGTTAATAATAGATTTTTTTAGGTGATAATAGTTCATAAAAACACAAGGTTCTTCTCCATGGATTCATAATATGAACCAGCTAGATCTTGTTTTAGGTAAGATGATTCATTCAGAAGAGGACACTAGTAACTGATTTATGAAATATATTCCATTTTAGAATCTAAGACATAACTTTCTAAAAAAAGATTTGTCTGAATTCTTTTCCTAGAGCCACCCTGATTGATAAAGCAATCCCAGAGGCAAACTTGGGCAATTAGAAAGCCTGTTACTCATTTCTCAGTAAATCAAATCGAGGTTTACCTGGTTGCCCTTTGAATATGTGGTGGTTTCTCTACCTATACTTCACAGCACGTCGGGCCATCCTGTAGAAGTCTAACTTCCTATACCCCAGCTATCCATGACTTTGTCTTGTTTCTTTAAACATGTGCCCATTGGTTTCTATGTTGATCATGCAGAGCAAAAGTTATGTAGAAGCACAATTAGTGACACCTGAAAAAAGCTGGTTGGGAAGTAAAGATGATGGTGGCCCAGGTCATCAAAGGGAAAGTATTTCACAAAGATAAAATATTTATATGACTACATTTTTTTCTTGTATCTTTTTCCTGTTTTCATGTATGTATGTAAGCATGATTGAAATTACTATTGCTTCATATATTCTTGTTTTTTTTTCCCAGGGAAGGCCTGATTCAAACTGTTATAATTAGGTTCATAACATAGAATCAAATTTTGATGCTCCACATTTCAAATGATTCATTGAGTTAAAAGAATTTAAGAATTGATTCTAAACTAAACTGCTTTTAACCTAAGACTTTCTTTTAAAAAGTGAAGTCTGCAAAGGGAATGCACTGAATCATTGTAGTATTTTGACACTTAATGCTAGCTTTATAAATTATATCAATGTCTTGACTTTTTTTCCCTATTTTTTGACTCTACCAGTTCTTTAGAAAGTGAAGTGCATTGTTAATAATCTTTTATATTTTGCAGTTCTTTAAACTTTGTCAAATGCTTCTCTCATTTTATCCTTTATAACCACCCTGTGAATGCTGTATGGCAGACATTCTGCTTTTGACAAATTACAGGAATGACATGGTGGGGAGGGAGGTTGAATCACTTATGGAAAAACACAAAATCATTTGAAAATCCTAAGTAGGACTGTAACCCAACTCTTCTCTCTTGCTTTTTGCAACTTTGATTATTTTCTCCTTGTCTTTTGTTGAGTTCTTTTTTGAAAACTTTAGCAGACTTACTCTTTCATTTTCCCAATAGAAACAATTTTTTCCTCTTTTTAAAGTTTTTCTGTGTTGGAAAGATAAGGTTGGAAATAATTCTGAGAGAAAAGATTTGAACAGGAAAGCCTCTTGGTAATTTTTGCTAACTGATCAGAAAGCTGTAATTATTTTTAAACTTGTAAATCATTATTATGCATATAATAATTGTATTCTTGAAGAATTTCTCTAATTGGTTACCCAGTTTTTTTTTTTTTTCCAAAAGAACAATTTTAAGCTGCTTTCACTGATCTGGAAGGTAGAGGGTAGGAATAACTTTTTAGGTTGCATGGTTTTTGTCTATTGTATTCCTATTTTTAAAAAAATCTCTCTGTATTTCTTATTCTGAATGTATTTACTATTCCCTTTTTACAAAAAGAGAAATTAAAGGAAGTTAGAGAGTCAAGTCATTTTTCCAAAGAGTCACTGTTCACCATTGTTCATAGCTGTGACAACACTGGGCCTCTGTTTCTGAAGCATGTCATACTAAACGTTGTTTTTTTTTTTTACATCCTACCCATGTTCACTTAGTCTACAGCATGCAGACACTTATAAAAAGACATACAAAATGACATATAAAAAGACAGAAGTATAAAAATGAATCAGTAATCAGGCATGCACATTTGTTTCAGTGTTCATATTAGGGCACCTTAGAATGTATTTCCTGGTGGTCCAGACAGTAAAGATTCTGCCTGCAATGTGGGAGACCCAGTTTGATTCCTGGGTCAGGAAGATCCCCTGGAGAAGGGAATGGCGACCTACTCTAGTATTCTTGCCTGCAGAATTCCATGGACTGAGAAGCCTGGCCGGTTACAGTCCATGGCGTCACGAAAGAGTGGGCATGACTGAATAACTTACACTTTCACTTTTTCAGAATATGTTTAGTTAACTAATAAGTATGAAATTTTACCATTCTGATAGACTGAAGTTTTGGATAGTGAACCATCAGAAAGGCATTTGAAATGAAGACTTAAAAGGGGGTATTTTTTGGATTCTCTGTATTATTGTGTGTCTGTCCTTTTGCTGTTAGTTGTTTCAGGGCACCCTCACTTCGCACAAACTAAGATCTGAAGGAGGTTTTCAGGGCAATGCCTTATACTTACACAGCTTAACTTAAGGGGAGTGCAGTACACAGGTTGAGGGAACTATATTCCCCTGGCTTTAACGAATTCATGAACAAAACAGTCATTCCTATTAGAATATTTCTGAATAGTTTCTTGCGTCAGTCAGTAAGAATTCTGTATCCAGTAGAAGCAGGTTAATTTTTGAGCTATGCCATGTGTATCTGTCCCTAAAATGAAAGAGATGAGTTGACATAAAAGGCATACCCACCAGAAAGTAGGATTTCAAAGTCTGCATGCAGGTCCTGCCTGATGATTGGTTCAGTGCAATCCCTCATCTGGGTCCAAGCCTCATTCATCATCACTGAGTGCCTCTTGTCAAAGGAAGTCATCCTCAGACTAAGGAAACCCAGGATTGCAGAATCATTTTCATATATCATGGAGCTGTGTGTTGACTGATGGTGTTTGTTTTTTTTTACATTAGACAATTTTGTTTTTATGTCTTTCTCCTACGCTCTGCAGACCATAGACCTGTGTGTCTTTCTGTTCCCTAAAGCACCTCACCTCTGTGCAATTACCTTAAACAGAAATCGCAAACCTCCTTCACCACCTAGTACCCATGTGCCCAGTACTCAGTCACCGCCTTGTTCTCGAAGTTCCCATGACAATGATCTGCTTGCACTTTGCCTCCAGGTCACCTACCATTCCATTCCTATGGCAGGAGTTCCCTTGCATCCATCTCTTTTATTCTAACTCCTATCTAGAATATTCTAGACATGGCTCAGGCATCACTTTCAGCAATAAACTTCTTGGGAGGTTTTTTATTTTTTGGTCATTATCTGTGCCTGTTTCTCCTTTAAGTTAAAAAGAAAAAACCCAACTTTATAGAGATATAATTCACACACCATTACAATTCACTCATTGAAAACATGCACTTCAGTGGTTATTGTATATTCTGATGTGTGTAACCATCAGCCTAGCCAATTCTAGGACCTCTTCATCATTTTGTAAAGAAATCCCATACCCTTTATTGAAAACATGCACTTCAGTGGTTATTGTATATTCTGATGTGTGTAACCATCAGCCTAGCTAATTCTAGGACCTCTTCATCATTTTGTAAAGAAATCCCATACCCTTTAGCTATTATCTCCTTAAACCTAGTAAGTGGTTCCTAACTCTAAGCAATCACTAACCCATTTTCAAATGTTTTATAGAGCTTCCTATTATGGACTTAAATCTGGATAACATCATAAAAATGTGAAATTTTTATTTGCTTCAGTCACTATACATAATATTTTTGAAGTTCATTCAGGTAGGGGCATGCATCAGTACTGCATTCCCTTTTAAGGTTGAGTAATAATTCATTGTATGGGTATACCATGTTTTGTTCATCCATTCATCTGCTGATGGTTGTTTGGATTGTTGCCACCTTTTGGATATTATGAATAATGCTATTAGAAACATTCATGTACAAGTTTTTGTGTGGCGATAGCCTTTTTATTTCTTTTGGGTATTTCCCTAAGAGGAGAATTGCTGAATCATATGACAATACTGTTTAATTGTGTGAGAAACTGCCAGATTCTCCCAGAGTTGCACCATTTTGTACTCTCATCAGCAGAGTGTAAAGATTTCAATTACCCAACAACCTCACAACTTCTTATTATCTTTTTGATTCTAGCCATCCTGGTTGGTGCAGAGTGGTATCTAGTTGTGGTGTTGTCTCCTTTAGATTTTTTTCCCCATGTGTTTCCTCTGCATCTACATATTGCTTGCCAGTATGCAATATGTGCTCACATGTTGATTGGACTCAATTGAATGTGTTACAAAAGCTGTTGGTTTTGTTGTTTTCCATGATTTATTTCAGCAAGTGTCCAGCAGGCACCTGTGATGGATGCACATTCTATTTCCTGTGGGAGAGTGTGGAAGCTTGCCCTCTGTGCACGGATCATGACTTCCATGAGATTGAGGGCGCCTGTAAGAGAGGATTTCAGGTAAGGGGCAAGCTGTCTGAGCAGAGCTGTGTCACTGAAGATGTAACTGTTTAGTCCAGGATCACTCACATCGTAGACATTTAGATTCAGTAGTGTGGCTAAAGCTTATAGTTAACTTAATGAGACATTAATATATGTCTAAAATCAAGTTTGATACCTATACTTCTGTATGCTGAGGTAGCTGAAGATGTGTACTGGAACTGGGAAAATAAATTATACAAGAGAATTGTAGACTATGGGTATTTACCAAGATCATAAAGAAATGATACAATGAACCCAAGATATGGCTTATAGAATGCAGTTATAGGGATAACTAAGATGAGGATGATAAAACTGACTCTCCAAAGAAGCATATATAAGGAGTAAATCTTACATGCACTCACACACACACGTTAATCAAGTTCCTACTTTATGTTTTCTCTGCATTCGCTTGTTTTTTAAAAGTAAAGTTAGGATTCTATTTTGTTTTCTTTATGCATTTAATATATTTCACTTGTCATTAATTTTTTAAATAACTTTTATTTATAGAGAAATATTCTATTATGTATGCAATTTGGAATTTGATAATTCCGCCATTGAACATTTAAGAAAAAAATTGAAAACCATCTTTTTGTAAATAACTCTATAGTGAATATCTTTGTTAGACATTTGATTCTTTCATTAGAGTTTATTGCTAGAAAGATATGGCCATTATTAAGGTTTTTGATACTTATTATACTATTAATAAATTGCTTTGGTCACATCAATTTGCTCTTATACTAATATGATGTTTGAGAGCACCCGCTTCACCATACCAGCTTTGATTAGTACTATATAAAAGCACACTTTTCCTCTTTCAAAATAACTTACTTACTACTTCACCCTCTCTAAATTCCATTGAAATTACACTAAAGAAGCACAGATGAGGGGATTCATGTGGTGGGGACCCTATTGGAAAATGGACATCAGAGGATCAGAGATTCCAGTGGGATTGGAGGGCATGGCAACCCATTCCGGTATTCTTGCCTGGAGAATCCCCACAGACAGAGGAGCCTGGTGGGTTATAGTCTGTGGGGTGGCAAGAGCAGGACAATACTAAGTGACTCAGCAAAGAACACAGCACACCAGGTAGATGGGATAGAACTGACTTTCAGGTCAGCATGGAACATGCTAGGGTACTCACTGTGTAAGGTGATCAGAGAGGGGAGCTGTTCTATCCAGGAAACTCTTAAAGAGCTTGTAGCTGTCAGGTTGGAGGGTCCAAGTGAGAGAAGAAATCTGAATGCCCCCACCCAATCCCATACACTCAGCATATTTGGAAGCAGTAGTTTCCACCTCTAAGGAAGAAAGAAAAAAAAAAAAACCCAACATTGAGAACTATTCTCTAAACTGGTATTTTCCATTCTTGAATGACAGTGAATTTGTAGTAAGAAATACTTGATACATCAAGCCTAGGAAATAGACACAAACTCAGAAACAGAGATATTCTTAAAAATAAAATTGTTTTATGAAACAATACTTATTTTAATATTTTATGCTAATAGAGCATAGGCATAACAGCACAAAATATGTTTCATTAATACTTTAATACAAAATGGAGACATCTCCAAATAGAAACACTAAACCAAAAATTAGGAAATACTTAATTCAGTAAGTGTGCTTCCTTGTTGATAGCTCACACCCGCGCGGAGCAACAGAGCCAACACTGCTGAAATATCCTAGGCATGGCTGAGTCAGTTTCTTTTTAACCTTTGTAAGTGGGTCAATGATGAAACTTTCAACTTCACAAAATATGGTTTCTTTTTAATCCTCATAATGATACATTTTTATGCTTCACAGTGGAAATTGATCTTTATCTTTTCTCTAGGATTATGATAAACTTCCTACCTTATAATTATTTTTTTAAGAGTAAATGAAAAATGAAAGATGTGTTCCCTCTTTGGCCACCAAGTTTAATTCAGGAGTTTTGAGAAGCTAAATGACCTTTTATCCAAACATTCTTCAATATTTAATATTTCTCTTCTGGAAGGTAGTGATTATAAGTTTGAGACAATGGGGAGGCAACTATTTCTCTAATTTTATCTCATTCAAACTATCTTCATTAAAAAAACCTCTGTTCAACATCTTATAAGAATGACTGAAACAGATAGTTGTGAGGTGATGCTTTTTAAATAATTGGTTTTGTTTTAAGAATAATACCTTTTAGAACACTTGTTGTGTTTGATGTGTTGACGTGTGTAACTCCCCCTGTAGTTCCAAATTTATTTTGAGAAATATTAAAATCAGTTAAATATGCCTTTCTATTATGTTTAGATGTCAAATTTGTAAATATATGCCAAATGAGAGGGAGTTTCAAGTAGAAAAAAAGGAAATGTCTTTCTTCAGGGTATTCATTGCAATAGCAGACAAATGGGTTTGATGTAGTAAGTGGGTATGTTTACTGCCAATCTCTGAATATTATATTTTGAAAAGTCTGTTCTTTGGTGAGTTTTCAATACACATGACAACTTTCCCTGCGTCTTCCATTAAGTCAGTGAACAAGGATGGATTTCTTTGGATGCCAAAGCCTTTTGATATTAAAAAAAAAAAAAAGTAAAATATTGAGATGGGTATCTTTTAATTTTTAAATAATTCTACTGTGTTTCTATTATATTGTCTGCTCCATTCTTTATAGTTTTTCACTTGATATTGACTGAGAATATGTTTTTTCTAATTTTATAAAGATGTATAATCCAGATTCACATGAAGTTAAATTTACACACTAAAGTTCCTCCACATACAGCTGATATAAACTAAAAGAGCTGCATGACTTGTGATAAAGTGCTCTTATCAAATTGAATCTCAAAAATCCATACCAGGTTCTAAGTACGTATTAAGCATTACTTCTAAATGTTATATAGTGGTAGAGATTTGATGAGATAGTGTGTTATTACTGGTAGGTAAGTTTTAAAATTTATCTCACCCCGTTCACAAAATATCCTTACGTGCTGCAAGAATAAATTTTTCAGCTGCTCTATCAGCCATTTTCTTGTTTGCCAAGGACATGACTTAATGTAAGGATGTGAAAGTGAAAGTAAAACTCACTCAGTCGTGTCCGACTCTTTGTGACGCCATGGACTGTATAGTCCCTGGAATTCTGCAGGCCAGAATACCGGAGTGGGTAGCCTTTCCCTTCTCCAGGGGATCTTCCCAACCCAGGGATGGAACCCAGGTCTCCTGCGGCAGGCAGATTCTTTACCAGCTGAGCCACAAGGGAAGCCCCTAATGTAGGGATAAAGCTTTGTAATTAATAGAATGACTAAGAAATTTATAGAATGATCAAGTTACAGAATGACTAGAAATTCTGTCAGTAGCTTGACTTTATTTTTCCTTAACAATATGAGGAGCTTATTGAGAAGTTAAAATCTCTGGGTTTACAAGTATGTGTCTTTTTAATTCTGAAGTTTTAATGGCTCATTTATAAGACCATCATTGGACATTAGTGCTTGCCATTTGCGTTGGGTGTAGCTTATGGGATACAACCATATACACTCTTTCACAGCCTTTTTTTTTCTCTTGTTGGAACACCCTTCAGTTGAAATCAGTGTTTGCTGACTGGAGTTAACATTTATCTCTTTATTGTCATTATTTACATGTAGAGAGGGAGCAGTTCAACCTTGTTCATGCCTCCTCATTCCTCATCTTTCTTATAAAAATTATATGAGCCATTTAAAAAATAATTTATTTACACTAAGTTTAATGAAGTGTTACACTAAATTTTTTTTCAATTACTAACATCCTTTCTAAAAGTTCTCAACCAAAACTTTGTTGAAACTTTTCCTCAAAGTAAATAGGATTCTCCTACACATCATTTACTTCAAGACTAACTGTGAAAGTGTGTGAGTGTGTGAAATTAAACATTATGGTGTTATGCTTCTGTTAGCGTGTAGATAAAGTGACCATCATTCACCAGAAAACTTCAGGAGGCATACTGAGTAAAGAATGTAATACCGCATGTCATTTAATGTCACTGGGCATAATCATCATGCAAATTGCTACTGGTCATTGTATATGTTGAAATATATAAGGAACCATGCCTGGGTTCTGATTTTTGTCTCTGATCTCTTATTTGATCTGTTTATTTAAGAAATTGCTGGTTGAAGCCCATTGTTTTTATTTTACCATTTATAGTTGATTGCAGGGAGCAGTTTGAAAGCATTGCTCTAGCAAAATCGTCATGTACTTTGGGAGGAAGAGAGTAAGTCCCTCATCTGGGTAGCAATGACCCAGAATAACTTGCTCCTTATTTTGGCCTGGGGAAGGGGTGCAGTCTGCATGCCTACCCCACACCAGTCACCGAAGTCTGCCAGTCATGCTCTGCCTGTATGTCTGGCTCCAGGATCTGTTCTGCTATTCAGGGGAGAGGCTTTTTGGGGAAATGGACCTACGTGATGAGTGGGTAAAACCCGTCCCAGTTAGTTATATTAAAAAACCCAAGCTTTCATTTAAAAACATGATTAAGTGAGGGCTCATCACATACTTGAAGAAAATAGCTCAAATGATAGATCCACAGGGAGTCATTTTTGTTCAAATTCCTTATAATGAAGCAAACCTTCTGATCTGACAATTCATGGTCTTGTTGCATTTTCATTCATCATTTCCTTATTCTCTCTCTTCTATATCTCTTTCCTCTCTTTGTGGAGCTTCATATAGATGAAAGCTGAATAACCCTCTCTGCCTACTGTCAATAAACGGTTAGCAAGACCCTCCTCCTAGTCAATCTAATTTCTATGTCCTCTTTGTGTTTTGAAAGGAAACTTTATATGTGTGGAATGAGCCTAAGTGGTGCATTAAAGGAATTTCTTTGCCTGAGAAAAAGTTGTCAACCTGTGAGACAGTTGACTTTTGGCTAAAAGTGGGAGCAGGCGTGGGAGCTTTTACAGCCGTTTTGCTGGTGGCTCTAACTTGCTACTTCTGGAAAAAGAATCAGAAGTAAGTAACCTCTAAATAAGACTGAGGAATCTCTTTTGTCGTAAAAATTTAGGCTTAATCACCATACTCAACAATTTCTCCCAGAGCCACAAGAAATTTCTCCTAGTTGAAAGAGTTATGGGAAAGGTTTTTAAGAAGGCAAATGGAATGGTTGTTACTCTGATAACAGAAAGACCAGAGAACATTAGAGATAATTGCATTGGACTCACTGTTTTTATAAGATAGAGAAGAACAGAGGCTCCAGGCTACTCAGGTAGATGAGAGAAGAGCTCAGAGCGAAAGGCAAATTTTCTCTGTGTGTCTATTTTATTTTCATGACATCATGTTGCCTTCTTGCCCCATCATTGTTTTTTCAGTTTCTTGTGGGCAAATATTTGCAAAGAAACAGACTAAGCATGTAGGCAAGTATCACCTTTATTTGTGCCAGGACTTCAAGAATCTGAAGTTGAGTATTGAGTCTAACTACCAATTATATATGATACATTGTATAATTAGGCTTTTTAAATATGATTTACCTGTCATTGGGGCTGTGAAAGTTCTTTTTTGTATTATCTAAGGACAGTTATAATCTGAGGTGGGAAATAGAAAGCAATGAGTGAAAGAAATAGTAAAGACCAAATCACTTGCGTATATTTAATGTTCTCATCTTATGAACTAAACTTTGAAAAATGGCATATTAAATTAGTTCCCAAGTGTTTGTAAATGATGAAAATTTATTCATACCTCTAATATTCTCTGTTTTTCAAAAGTTTGTCATAATTGGCCACTTTAAGTGATGTAAAATAAGTGTAATAGAATTAACTATATTGTACTGACTCTATAAATTCTGGAAAAGATTGGTATATAGATGGTAGATTAATGAGAACCTATAGTGTTATGGTGATGGGTGAAGGAAATCTGTTGGTGAAGCAACTATACTCCAAGACAGTTGGCTGGTGTATGACCACCTCAAATAAGCATTAATTTATATTAAACAGCCTCTTTATCTATTTATATATTTACCACTACTTAGACTGGAGTACAAATATTCCAAATTAGTAATGACTACGAACTCAAAAGAGTGTGAACTCCCAGCTGCAGACAGCTGTGCTATCATGGAAGGAGAAGATAATGAAGAGGAAGTTGTATATTCCAATAAACAGTCCCTACTGGGAAAACTCAAATCCTTGGCAACAAAGGTAACAGCAGAATCTTAACCTGGTAATACTGTGTGTTTATGAGTAAGAGGCCATATTAACCTAACAGTAACATTCTTGCAAACTCTGTCATTCAACATATCTGTCTCTCTGTGGGTATTTATCTGGTAGAAGTACTTTTGGAAATACAGATAGGTGTAAATACAAGAATAATCACTGCAGTATTGTTTTGTTGGTTAACCAAGTAGAAGCAACTTTTAACACCATCAAGAAGTAGTTAAATTTCCATATATCAAAGTAGTGGGATGCTGTGCAATCCTGCAGCTGTTTAAAGAGGAGATGTCTGTGTGTACTGATATGTCAGTAGGTCCAGGGTCAGTGAAGTGAGAGCAGCACATAGACTATCACATTTGTGTTAAACGTACATTTATATTAGTATTTGAACAGGAAACTACTAACGGTAGCTGCATTTTGAGAGTTTTTAACTAATGGACGTCTTTCGTCTTTGAAGTAATACAGTTTTGTAATATTTGAATTTGTACAAAGATAATGTATTAATAGTATTAACAAAAACAAAAATTTTAGGTAAATAAATGATCCAATGTTTATTTATATATCTTGTTTTAGAACAAGATTGTTTCATTTAGAGAAAATAAAAGTTATATAAAATGTTGAGATATTACTTTATCAGATGGTATCATATTCATCAGCTTTGAAATGATTACTATATCCAAACAGATAACATGAAGTCTTACATATTGTTTGTAAACACATTTTATTGACATTCTTCACCATTGACTTAAAAGATAAAACATGCCACTTTACTTTTGCAAGATTGAAAATAGAATGAAACATGAAAGAAACTGCATTTCAAAGGATTTTCAGCAGGCAGGGCATATGGCAAAGATTACATTTATTTATTACATTTATTGTTTTAGTAATCATTTCCTAACTTAGGTACATAAATATATCATAGGGGATCATTTTAAAATAAATGAATAGCCCTATTCTCCTTATACTAATGTCTGTTTGAATTTGCTTATTATGCTAGTTTATGGAGGGTACTATTGCTAAGGGACAGTGAATGTACAGTGATTGTCAAGAGCTGAGAATTTACCCTACTTATAAGCTAACAAGTGAGCCTGCTATGATTTCATGGATACTTTAGAAGACATAGAATTTCTGATCAGAGACAAAGGACAGTTTAAATGGTCATAGCAGAAGCACTAGCCAAAACCTCAGCATTTATCCCAGTTTCAAATCCTCACTTCCTACAGATGACACTTGGTGGGCTGCATTATAGGTAAGGAACCTATAATGAACTTGGGAACCTAAATCTTTTAGAATGGGCAGCAAGCATCTCTGCCTTTGTTCCAAAGAGAGATATTATTGTTATTGTGCTGGACAGTTAGCATCCCCATCCATTGCTCCAGAGGGAAGCACTTGTTTTCAAGACTGTATGTGAGCTTGCCCTTTTCTCTGGAAGGATATAACATCCTCAAAGGTCGCTCTCCATATAAAGACCTTTGAAAAGGTAGTCTAGAACAAAGGGAAATCAGTGTTGTATTCATAAGATATGCAGAAATGCCAAAGACATGGAGAGTTGTCTCCCAACAAAATCCAAACCTCCTTAGCAGTTTGCATCTGCTAATTCCAAATTCCTAATCTTTCCTTCTCCTCCTGCCCCTCATCCTTGGCAACCGCAAGTTTGTTCTCTATGTTTGAGCCTGTTTCTGTTTTGTAGATAAGTTCGTTTGTGTCATATTTTAGATTATACATATCAGTGATAATCATATGGTGTCTTTTTCTTTATGACTGACTTCATTTAGTAATTAGCCTCTAGTTCCATCCATGTTGCTGCAAATGGTGTGATTTCATACTTTTTTTAAAAAATTTAATAGCTACCCATAGAGCGAGTGTGAATAACAAGTCAGTTTTCCCTCCAGGAATCTACTCTGATTATCCAAGAGTAGTCTGATTTTGAAAAGATTCTTTCAGTTGTCTAAGAGCTATGTGATCTATGGAGGATGTTTTCATAAACAGTTAAATTATTACCACTTAGGACCACTCCTAGGGTACAAGCTATGCTGTTTTTAGGAGAGAAGTTAATATCTGGTTCCTACAAAAAGTATAGTCCTGTAGGTACACTTGGTGCCTGTGGAAAGTATTTTTTTATGATTGCTAGGGATACCAAGTGGAATCTCTTTAGCTAGGCAGCACTGGTTGATAGTGCCTGTGACCTTCTTGCTGTCTTATAAACCTTAGTGTTTCTGATTCACCTCTGACAGCTGTGTCTCTTCTTTGTCTTTGGAGAGACTGCTTGAGGGCTGTTAGTCCAGCTTTTCCTGTTTGCCCATGCCACAGACTGGGTGGTATTTGTCCACTCTATGGAATGATTGAGTTATGGGAATGGACATGTCAATTGTTGTTATTTTGGGGCAGAAGTTGGCACCATAGCAGCTATTTCTGATACTTTTCATTAAGTTTAAGGGGGAATGGCAAGCAAATTGTGGTGAGAGCATCTGGTGGGTTTGGTAGACAGTAGACTGTTAAATCTAAGGCACTTGCAACAATTTGAGAGTGGAACATTTTCCTTCACAGGGAGGTGTGACAGGGTAACTTTGAAAAGCAGAAACCTTTGCATCTCTCAGGGTGTAAGGTAACTCCTTCCCAGGTACCTCGTTATCAGACTGCACTGTTGATCCTCCGGTGCCACAGATCAGTTTGTCCCATTTCAGTAGCTGAGGTTCCACCTTATTTCTACTCATCTCCTGGAGTTCTGTGCCTGTGAACATTCAAATCCAGGAAGGTCAAGGGCTTTTAAAAACACTTAGGGAGAGCTAGTGTGTTTTCTACCTCTGTCCATGTGGGCTACAGTAGAAGTCATTTTTTTTTTTAATTGGAGTGTAGCAGCTTTACAGTGTTGTGTTAGTTTCTGCTGAACTAACAAAGTGAGTCAGTTACACGTATACATATATCCCCTCTTTTTTGAATTTCCTTGCCATTTAGGTTACCGTGGAGCATTGAGTAGAGTCCCCTGTGCTGTGTAGTTTGCTGTCATTAGTTATCTACTTTATACATAATAGTGTTTAGATGTGCCAACCCCAGTCTCCCAGTTCCTGCTTCCCCTCTTCCCCGCCGTGCTGCTCATGTTTGTTCTCTACATCTGTGCCTGGTTTTCTGCTCTGCATGTAGGTTCATCTGTACCATTTTTCTAGATTCCACATTTATGGATTAATATACAATATTATTTTTTCTGACTTACCTCACTCATGGATGACAGTCTGTAGGTCCATCCATGTCTCTGTGAGTGGCACATTTTTGTTCCTTTTTATGGCTGAATAATAACCTGTTGTATATACACACCACATCTTTATTGATTCCTCTGTTGATGGACATTTAGTTTGCTCCCATCCCCTGGTTATTGTTTGCAGTGCTCAGTGAGCATTGAGGTGCATGTATCTTTTGGAATTTCTCCAGGTATACACCCAGGAATGGGATTGCTGGGTCATATGGTAGTTCTGTTTTTAGTTTTTTAAGGAACTGTGGTACTCTTCTCCATAGTGGCTGTGTCAGTTGACATTTCCACCAACAGTGCAAGAGGGCTCCCTTTTCTCCACACCCTCTCTAGCCTTTATTGTTCATAGATTTTTTTGATGATGGCCATTCTGACCAGTGTGAGGTAATACCACCTCATTGTGGTTTTGATTTGTGTTTCTCTAATAATTAGTGAGGTTGAACATCTTCTCATGTGCTTCCTGGCCATCTGTAAGGCCATTTTTTCTTTGGATAAATGTCCGTTTAGGTCTGCCACCCATTTTTTGATTGGGTATTTTTTTTTTTTTTATATTGAGCTACAGGTGCTTTTTGTATATTTTGGAGATTAATCCCTTGTCAGTTACTTCATTTGCAGATAATTTCTTCCATTCTGAGAGTTGCCTTTGTCTTATTTATGGTTTCTTTTGCTGTGGAAAAGATTTTAAGTTTGATTAGGTTCCATTTGTTTATTTCTATTTTCATTCCTTTAGGAGGTGGGTCATAAAAGATCCTGCTGTGATTTATGCCAAAGAGTGTTCTGGCTATATTTTTTATAAGAGTTGTATACTGTCTGGCCTTACATTTAGGTCTTTAAGCCATTTTTAGTTTATTTTTGTGTATGATTTTAGGAAGTGTTCTAATTTCATTTTTTTACATGAAGCTATCCAGTTTTCCCAGAACTGCTTATTGAAGAAGACTGTGTTTTCTCCATCGTGTATTCTTGCCTCCCTTGTCATAGATTAGGTCACCACAGGTGTTTGGGTTTATCTCTGGGATTTATATCCTGTTCCATTGATCTATGTTTCTGTTTGGTGCCAATACCATTATGTCTTGGTTACTGTAGCTTTGCCGTATAATTTGAAGTAAGGGAGGTTTATTTCTCCAGCTCTGTTCTTCTTTCTCAGGATGGCTTTGGCTATTCATGATCTTTTTATTTCCTTACAAATTATAAATTTTTTTGTTCTATTTCTAAGAAAAATGCCATTGATAATTTGATAGGGATTTCATTGAATCTGTAGATTGCTTTGGGTAGTATAGTTATTTTCATGATACTAATTCTTCCAATCTAAGAACATGGTATAATCTCTCCAGCTGTTTGTGTTGTCTTTGATTTCTTTCATCAGCATATTATAGTTTTCTAAGTACAGGTCTTTTTCCCTCCTTAGGTAGGTTTATTCCTAGGTATTTTATTCTTTTTGTTATATGGCAGAAATATTGAGTAGGGTCTCTTGGAGCACAGCAGAAGAGAAAAGCATGCAGGTAGGTGGGTAGTGACAAGCTAAGGAGAAACTTCTCGGAGAAGTTGAATTTTCTTTGGATTCTTGAATTTAGAGCTTAAAAAGATCATTTTGTATGCATCTTTATTTAATGCATGAGTAAACTGAAACCTAGAGAGGTTCACTTTGTCCAAGAGAGGGTGAGTTAGAAATTAGAAACTCCATCTTCTGAGTTCCAATTCAGAATTTTTTCTTTCTACATGCTAGTGTTTCAGTACTTTTTCACAACCATTGATTGACAGCCAATGACATGTGAGGCCTTGGGTCATTTTATGGGAATTAAAAAGTGATAGAATTCCTGCCATCAGGAGATTCCAGTTAATTAGTGATGTTAACCACACACACATACACATATGTGTATATATATCCCACCATATCAGTTATAGGAGCAAAATCCCCTGTGAATAGAGAGGGCATGGTGATGAAAGCCCTGTGAAGCAAACATGACTGTATAGAGGGCTTCCAGTGTTTTACTTGAAACATTACCTTGAGGATAACAAACAGGTCTCTGCCTCCCCTTCTGGAGGAAGAGATTGAATCAAATCTTCTCAAACAAGGCCACAAAAACCTCAGCATTCCCTTCTGGTTCATGGCTGATGTCTAATGCTCTTTCCTGTAATACATGGTGAGATCCTTGAGGGCAGGCATTTTGTATTCCATAAAGTCTAGTCCATGTTCCTGTAACATATGGATGTTTAACAAATATTTGGATTATCAGTGGTTATTCCTAAAAAATTAAGGCTGGGATTTGTGAGACCTGAGGTAGATTCTGCTAGAACCAGTGGGTCAGGGTGCTGCAGTCTGCAGGCTGCTCTCCCAGGGTCTGTTGCCTGGGCAGAGGCAGGGAAATGGGATGTGCTGGTTCACACTGATTTTTTTTTTCCTGTAATCCTGACCATGTAACCCTAAAGTTGATCTGAAGTCTTGGACTTCTCTGCTCAAATGGGAGAAGACACAAAAGCAACCTGATTCTTCTTGACAGATACTCAGAATCTTTTTCCTGTTATTTTCTCTTTTCACTTCTCTCTTTTATACACATATCCATGTGCACCCAGAACTGATTGGCTTCATATTTCTTTTACTTTTAAAATAATCCTAATTCTTTTCATCTTTATTCTCCTCAACAGCATAGTCCCTCCACTCCATTCTAGCAGCCTTTGGAAAGCTTTGTCTAACAATGAAAACATTGGGAGAAATTTCGCTACTTCCTTTTCTCCCCATTAAAGAAGAATAATTTATCTTAATAGATTACATTTTGAATGCATTATAAAACAAATTCCATCAATGATATACTTGCATTAAAATTTTGATTTATTATCTGAGATGACTTGTTTTTAATATCTTTAGTAAACATGATCCCCAAAGATTTTCCTAAAACTTATCAGTGACCCAAATGATCTTCTGTTTTAATTGTGTTCTCTTTATTTCTGCTCTCCTTTTTCTCATTATTTACCCTATGTTATCTTGAGAATATTTAGTTTACTATCTACAGTTTACATGGATAAGTCAGCTATTTCAGCACTCAGATCAGATGTCCTTCTTGGAAGGGTCTCAGTGAATTTCTTCATAAGTATCGCAGCTGTATATTTTGGTATATATTACAGTCATGTGTTTGCTTCTATTTTGGATTGTGTGTCTTTGGGGTAGGCATGCTATCTGTTTTACATGTACTACCCTCCCCTTTAAATGTAAAATCCCAATTATGAGTGGCTAGTGTATTCATTGACCTGATTTCAGAACTTATTTCTGGGTAGGTAAGATCCTAAAATCTTACTGTAATTTTAATGAGTTGATTTTTTTCTTTATATTTTCCCCCCATAGGAAAAAGAAGACCATTTTGAATCTGTTCAACTGAAATCCTCAAGATCTCCAAATATATGAAAAGACAGTGCTGTAGCTGTCAGACTAATGAACAAAGAAACCCATTCTCTACTTTTACAGAACCATAGTTTAGAGCCTGTCCTCGTATCCGGCACATTGGCGATGTTACAGAGGAGGGCCATGCCACTGAGAAGGGAAGGAGGGTGAAATGCTAGATTGCCTTATCACATGGTCAAGTGTCTTGCCAAAAATAAGAAAGCAAATGGTTTGAGTCTCAACTGAAGATGAAGCTCAACTCAGGAAGAGATTTGTCTGTATATACACATAACTCAAAACCAAGGTTAAGCCCACCAGTGCACTGCTGATGCATGCCATATAATTAATGGGTAATTTTTCCTCTTTATAAATTCTATATAAAAAGTGTGTTTGGAGGGCTAATGTGAGCATATGCATTGTGATCCCATGTATGTCTTTTTTTTTGTTTATATTTTGGGGAAGATTTGAAAAATTTTTTAAGGTACAGTTATTTTTCCCATTATTTATTTTCCTGACCAACCTTTAAACATGTTTTCTATTAAAAATGATGAACAAAGAAAGACAATAGATTTTTCATTTTTCCATAGGGTATCATTCTTGATTTCAGGAGCCTAAGTAAGCAGTAATTCTTAATGAAGAGTCAGCATGTGCTTGGGTTATCTAAACTTACAATCGCCTTTGAAATTCCATCCTTGTTGGAACTGGTAAGAAGGGCTTTTTAAGAAATGGGATTCTTAAAAAAAAATAAAAAGGCAAAGAGAAACTTAGATTTTCCCCTAATAAAAACAAGCTGACACTATCACAAAAGTCAAATGGCTTGAAACAATTTATGTAATACTTGAAGTATAATTTAGAATGAATAGGAAAGTTTTTTTTTTTTAGCAAATCATTTGCAAAATCATGAGAAAAAAGTGGGATGGTTTGTGTATAAGTACAGAGAACTGTACAGAGGTACGGGGTAATTTATGGCCTCCAGAAAATGGCAGTGGGTACATTTGCCCTATGTCAAGCATCAAAGGTTATATGCTAGACTGTAAGGATTATTACTTCCATGGAGGTTTTCTTTTAAAGTTACTTAGAAATTCAATTTTAGAAAATTGCATATATCTGTATTCAAAATAAGAATGTTGTTGTACCATAAGCAGCTATGAAATAAGTATTGTTCTTATTCAAAAATGATCCAGATAATTGTGGTATTTTCTCTGATGGACAGGTTATACTGATATTAGCAGGAATTGAATATTTGTTGAAAGAAGTTTGAATGAAGCTGGGTATGACCAATTTTGTGTCAAACTTGTTTTAAAGCTCGGAAAGAGGGGAGTTTCCTTACCATTTATAATCTAAGGTGATCTTGTTTGTTTTCAATAAACAGTGATCTTTATAGGTTTCAATCCAGAGTTTTAAAAAGATTGGTAATTGGCCAGTGAGGTAGGGCATAGGGACAAGTTTATTAAATGTTTTGCCCCCAGTCTGTCAATGAGGTACACCTTGTAATTTTTGATTCAGCACGTCATCCTTAGTTTTGTGGGCAATGAAGGAAAAATAAATAATTGAATTTATTTCACTGGTGGGTAAAACAGTGGACCATTCTGTTATTGTTGAATGAATGTTTGTCTTGTGTAAGTCACTACTGTTGGATTCATGAGTATAGGTGAGGTGGGCTTTGTTTTGTTGTTTTTTGTGGAATTTTCAGAGGACATTGCTTTACATAAACCTTTTCTACATTTAATTTCTTACATTTTATTATAATTAGGAAATTATTTTGGCATTGCTCATTTTTATCCTGCCATCACTGCTGGTGAGCCATTCCCCATTTTGCTCAAAAATTAAGCAAAAGAATAAAAATACACTTGAAATGCACCCTTTCAGAGGAGCCCTGGCAAAGTTATACAGATTGGACAGAGTCAAGAAGTTTCCACACGGCCACCTGCCACCTCTGTCTTCATCTTTGCTGTGTTCAGCATGTATGTTCCAAGCCATAGAGATAATTGGGATTTGCTCGCAGATAGCGTCTTTCTTCTCTTGTCACTGGACTAAAATCTCTGACATGTCAAAAATGCCTTAAATTTTAATGAACTCTCAGAAAATACAGTTGGTATTGAAAATTTTATTTATTTTATTTCTTATTTTAGATATTAAATAGATTTTGGCAGCTCAGTCCCATCTTTGGAAAGAGCTGACTTTTTCATTTGGATCCCAGTGGATTGTCATTTTATTTCAACCACTGAAGAAGTATGACAGAAGGAATATTATGAGGAAGATATTCAGATGAATTCTGGCTATAAAATTTACTAAAGTCTTGCCTTTGCAAAGCTCAGTGTAATGTTGAAAGGTGAAAATAAATTAATCACGTTTCTGACTTTAATTGACATTTGTTACATCTTTGCCCCTCTAAGTGGTGGAAGAACAAGTTATTTATTATTTTTCTAAAAGGCAGTTGTGAAGCCTTAAATACTTCATTAAGTCAGCTATCACCTATAAAATCTCTTAGCACTCTGTCAAAACATATTTAAATCAGTTTTCCACTGAATGAGACCATATCTTCCATGGATAAATTATATCATGCCATTTAACAATGTTGAGCAACTTGATTTGTATTCACTTGATTTAAAGGATTGAACTTTGTTCTTATTGACTTTTCCCCTCTTTGATCACTAGTAATCAAGTCCTTTTCAGGATTAAAAATGTTTCATAGTATTTTTGTGTAGATTTTTGTCATTATTTTCTTCCCAAGGAGAGAAAAGGTGACTTAAATGGTTATGTGGAAGGATTACCTGTGTCTAGTCATTTACCCTCTGGGGTAGTTCAAGACAAATCTGGTGAACTGTCATCTGACATCTGTCAGTACAGCTACTTCTTGTGACTCGTGGTCATTCCTGATGGGAGGCTAATATGCAGATCATTTCTCTCTTCATCATGAATGCAAATTTCCTGAGAGCTGGGGTGGGAAGTTGATTTTATTGGCAGTGTATTGCTCACATTTACCTTTTTATACTAAAGATAGGTAGAGTAGAACTTCTTCAGAGGATTTACATATCCTCACATCTATTTCCTAGTGACCATGAACATTATCTAAGGTTTACATGACCAAGTTCTAAATAAAGATTGCTCTTAAAAAAGGACTCAAGGAGGATAAACCTAAAAAAATACCAACACTTGACTTATTCTTTGGACACTGTGAGTTCACCTTCACAGTAAATGGCCAGAGATTACACTTTTGCTGAATTTTATTTCGGTTTAATGTTTTTAGATGAGTTCATTTTAAGAGTCTCATGCTCTACCAACTGAGCTAGCCGGGCTGATTGATGAGTTCATTTTAGAATCATAAATGAAGTAAAAGATGGGGACAAATAATTGAAAATTAATTGATACTACTATTACAATTGCTATTAAGGGATATTACTATTGCAGTTGTCTAGATTAGAAGTCAGCAGTCTTTTTCTGTAAAGGGTCAGGTAGTGTTTTCAGCTTTTCGGGTCGTGTGGTTTCTGTTTCAGCTCTGCCATTGTAACATGAAAGCAGCCACAGATAGTCTATACGCAAATGGGTATGGCTACATCCTGATAAAACTTGATGTACATGGAAATTTGAGTTCAATTTTATTTGTCATGAAATATTACTTTTGGTATTTTCCCTCCAACTATTTAAAAATGTAGAAGCATTCTTAGCTCACAGATTTTATAAAAACAGATGCTAGGCTAGGATTTGACCTGTGGGCTGTGGCTTGCTGACCACTGTTTTCCATCACTATAACCCACAAGCAAAACTATTTGGAATAATCTTTTTGCACAGATTCTTTGCCCTTTAGGAGTTTACACCTTCAAGGTTTCTCAAGTCTCTAGAGAGGATCAAGGAAAAAAAGCCCATTACTTTCCCTTGGTGACTTAATCATTCACCAAAGACAAAGCCAGATACTCTTCTGAGTTCCTTTTATAGTTCTAGGACTTGATTGTGGATATTGATTAGGAAATGATAAAATAAAACAAGTGAATTGGTTCAAAATCAACCAGTAAGATTGATTTAAAAGTCTTTTCTCATTGTGATTTCTATAACATTTGTTGCTAAGGTAACTAGATTTGTAGATAATATTCAATCTCTTTGACAGATTTCTTTCAATTAACTATTTGGAAGTAATGTATATTGATGCATAAAAGTAGTTTCAGCCTAGATTCTTGAGCTCTGGCGCTGGATAGGGTTCCCTGGCAGCACTGGAGCATCCATTGCATGTATTCAGGCCATGTGCACCTCAGTCCACACATATTTACCAAATCCTATTTTAAGACTGACTGAACTGCAAAGGACACTTAGGATTATTTTAATGATTGGTGGTTCAAGAAACAGACCTCCAATTGCCTTGAGCAAGACATCCCAGTTAGGCTTTTTATTTGCTGGAATTTTCCTAATCTTATTAAAGACTCCTGGATGAAGAATACTGTATAAAACAGCTTGTGGATATTGGTAAATTTGGTTTTGAAGGGAGTAATATTCCTTTTATCTTAGCTAGCCATCTAAGGGTTTCCATCCAAGCCATCAACAGATTTCAAATTACCATTGCTTTGGTTAAACTAATAAGTCCAACCAGTGGGGATTATGCAAATCTAAACTTTCTTTCACAGAGCAGGAGTGATAATTGCGTTATTCATGGGTTTGGGCCTTATTAGGGCTGTGGAGGTTTTAATCCATACTGATGTTCCATCTTCCTGGCACCTCACTTTATTTTTGCTTCTCTGTGGCCTTTTGCTATAGAGCTCTGACACCCCAAACTCTCATGGTGGATACATGGATAAAGCAGGGGGCTAGTTGAGAGGAACTGCGGGGTTGAAGTCTGCAAAGGTACACTGGGTCAATTACCTCCTTTTCAGCCACTCTCTTAATTTGTCCTCTATGTGGTCTTCAAACCAGCTTGCCTCACAGTTTGAAAATGGGACCTTTTTATGCTACTGTGAGAAACCTGAGTGGGCAAGTGAATATTAGTATTTAAACTAGAAGAGGACACAGAGAATTTCAAAAGCTGTGAACACTCAGGAATCCAACAAAAATCAACCATATCATGAGGCTCCGGCATGTTTTTTTATGAGTTGGATACATCATTCTGCTTGAGTTCCTTGCATTCAGGACATTTTTGCAAAGATGGATCAGCTCAGCAAGTTTTATATTCCTGAGAGAATGAAATGTTGTTACTGGAGTTAAAGAAAAATCAGTCCCACACCTATTGCTTTGAAATGGCTCATGTAAAAAAGATTTTATAGTTGCTATTTTCCACACATATGCTGAATGCTCTTCAATAAATTACTTCTAGGGATCACATGTTAGGGTGTGTGCATTTGAGTAGGAAACACGGTTCATGGCAGGGAAGAAAAAGATGATGAGAGCGGTCAGTGAATGCACTTTCAGTGTAAAGACAGGGAGTGAAATACAGTGACCACAGATCAAAACCCGATCCTCAGAAACACCCACTCGGGATTCACCCACAACCTAACTGTCTTGTTTAAGAAGATCCACAATCAGTTTGATTGTTTTGGGCATCAGCAGTGTCTCTGAACAACCCACCTGATATTGCCTTCCTTGGCCTGTCAAATCCCATCAGCGGACTGAGTTTATTTTCTCTGCCATCAGCCTTGCCTCGGCCTTGATTTTGAGCAGGTACTCATTCTGAGCACATCTATCTAGCACTCCTGCCAGTTTCAGTCACAACAGAGTTCTTTTTTGACATCTATTGTCTTTTTTGACAACTACTGTTACCCAATCTGCCACACCCACCCCCTCCCATCCATGTTCTTTGAAGCTGAGAATTTAGAGACTGTTTGCACTGTTGTCTTTGAGCATCTGCTGAGTTTTGGGCACATTGATGAGGGTGCTGATTCAAAGACATCTAGAAGGAAGTAGAGAATTGCTAACATAGGACTCCTCAGTTTATTTCCTTCAGGCCAGTCATATTGGCTTTTATGTACCTACTTGTTATTTCTGGATATTTTAAAAATACTATCAGTCTTGATTATCCAGGCCCTGGTTATTCAGCCTGTGGGTCCCTCATAGCCTTCTCACTGTCTCCCTCAGTGGCAGTCTCCTTATTAGCATGTTTTCCAGTCTTGATGCTTCTTAAAGGCAAGTACATGTTAATCCTCTTCTTCCCTGTCATGAGTTGAAGCATGGCCCCCTACGAGTTACACATCCTAATGTTATTTCATTTCAAACAAGGGCCTTAGCAGATGCAGTTAAGGATCTTGAGGTGAGATCATCCTGCATTATCCAGGTGTGCCCTAAATCCAATGACAAGTGTCCTCAGAAGAGACACACAGAGGAGAATGTGACATGAAGACGGTCGCAGAGATTGGAGCGATATGATGTCAAGAAGCTGACCAGCACCAGAAACTAGGAGAGGGATGCGATGGATCCTCCCCTATAGCTAAGAAGGTGCAGCTGCACAGAGTCAATTTTTGTTGTCTTAAGTCACTGACTTAAGACATGTTAAGTCGTCAGATTAGTTACAGGAAAAAAATACATGCTCTGTCCGTGGTATCTGGTGCAGGACCTAGCAGATAGTTAGATTCTCAGTGATTTCTCTACATTAATAAATGATTCGTGACGCAAGGACTTATCAGGAGAAATAGGACAGTACTGGTAAGAATGACCCCATTTTAGCTTATCCGTGCTTTTCCTGTGTGCTCCTTTATTTAGGTTAGTAAAATATTCAAGTTTAGTGACAAGTCTATGTGCTCCTAAACATTGTTCTTGGGACTTTGGAAAAGAAGATATCCTGCATTTTCATTGCCTCATTCAGCTGTGAACCACCAGCGTGATTTTCCAATGGAATAACAAGATGCTTTTCCAGGCTCCTTGCTAGAAATTTAGGTGGTTTTGGGAAATGAGAGCCATCAAACCTTCCCTGACAGGTCAGTTTTGGTATTCAGAGGACTATAGGAATGGAAGAACTCTCTCCTCACCTCAGAGACCTATTTGGGCAAATTCAGGGCTGCCTTGCAGATATGGCTTAAAGAAACCAATAAGGGTATTATTGTCTGGCCACAGTAATAACCTGATATTTATGGTGTCATCAGTCAAATTCTGATCATGTGATCTGCAAAGATCTGCAAAGAAGTCTAGACATGCTTACAGTTCTCTTACAGGGTAAAACTTGTGTTCAGTGTATCTATTAACAGATGTAAAGAGAAGCATAGTTAGATAATTTCCTCCAACAATAAAATAGAAATGGTCTAAATCAACATATTCAAATTACCTGGAGTGGTTAAATAAGAACAAGGCCATTATCCACCATGCTGGAAAACCTTGAAGGTTTTATTCTCAGTATCTTTACATTAATACAGATGCTTTTGATTTTGTGCTGAGAAAAACAATCTGTTACACATAATGTAACTTTAATATACAACATAGAAACTCATCCTAAGTTAGTTACAACAAGGGCCTACAAAAAACTTCATAGGAAAAAAAGTTATCTAATATTGCCACCATATTTTCTAATAGACTGACCCTGTCAGACCCTGTCACCAGTGCTCAGCTCTGTAAACAATGGGTTATTTCCAGGTTCTAAGGAATCATTAATAATCACTAAAATCAGTCTAAAAAGTTCTAGCACATCACTATATACTGTACAGTCCTTAAAAATAATTTATTGTACTGTTTCT